TGCACTCACTCTAGCCCGGGCAACACAGGGAGACTCTGTCTCAAAAAAAAAAAAAGAATGCGCCCTCTACTGGAGGGGTGAATAAACCTCATCGCTACAGGCCTGGTACAGTGGCACTCTGTGAAATTAGACGTTATCACAAGTCCACTGAACTGATTCGCAAAACTTCCTTTCCAGCGTCTGGTGCGAGAAATTGCTCAGGACTTCAAAACAGATCTGCGCTTCCAGAGCGCAGCTATTGGTGCTCTGCAGGAAGCAAGTGAGGCCTATCTGGTTGGCCTTTTTTTTTTTTTGAGACAGAGTCTCACTCTGTTGCCCTGGCTAGAGTGAGTGCTGTGGCGTCACCCTAGCTCACAGCAACCTCAAACTCCTGGACTCAGCCTCCCGATTTCTATTTTTTTTAGTAGAGATGGGGGTCTCACTTTTGCTCAGGCTGGTCTCGAACTCCTGACCTTGAGCGATCCACCCACCTCGGCTTCCCAGAGTGCTAGGATTACAGGCGTGAGCCACCTGGTTGGCCTTTTTTAAGACACCAATCTGTGTGCTATCCATGCCAAATGTGAAACAATTATGCCAAAAGACATCCAGCTAGCACGTCGCATACGTGGAGAACGTGCTTAAGAATCCACTATGATGGGAAAACATTTCATTCTCAAAAAAAAAAAATTCTCTTCTTCCTGTTATTGGTAGTTCTGAACGTTAGATTTTTTTTTTTTCCCATGGGGTCAAAAGGTACCCAAGTATATGATTTCGAGTGGAAAAATAGGGGTCAGAAATCAGGTATTGGCAGTTTTTCCATTTTCATTTGTGTGTGAATTTTTAATACAAATGCGGGGATGTGAAGCATTAATGTAAGTCAAATGTTTCAGTGAACAAGTTTCAGCAGTTCAACTTTATAACAATTATAAATAAACCTGTTAAATTTTTCTGGACAATGCCAGCATTTGAATTTTATTAAAACAAGTAAATTTCTTATTGACGGCAACTGAATGGTGTTTGTAGCATTTTTATCATACAGTAGATTCCATCCATTCACTATACTTTTCTAACTGAGTTGTCCTACATACAAGTACATGTTTTTAATGTTGTCTGCCTTCTGTGCTGTTCCTGTAAGTTTGCTGTTAAAATACATTAAACTATAAAAATATATATATATATAAATGGAAGATATAGAACTGTCATTGTTTGGAAATGAGATGATAATAACCAACTAAACCAGCAAATTATCTGAATAACTGTAAGAGTCTGTCAAGGTTGCTATATGTATGATCAACTTAAAAAACATTAATAAATTGTGTTCCTCCACACTCATAATAACCAAATAGAAAATATAATAGAAAATAAGATTCATTCATAAGAGCAGCAAATACTCTGAAGTATCTGAGAGTTAAGCCAGTAAAAATGAACAAGAACTGTATGGAGAAAAATATTAAAGTCTACTAAGATCACAAAGAAAGATAAATGAAGGCTATTCTATGTACCATATACTATGTAAATATGTCAATTCTCTCTGAATTAACCCACAAATTCAATGGAAATCCAATCAAAATTCCACTAGAAATTTTTTTAGAAACTCAACAAACTTACTCTAAAATGTATAGAAAATAAAATAGCAAAATTTATTGTTCTAAAGTAAATAAAAAAGGCTGGGCGCGGTGGCTCAGGCCTGTAATCCTAGCACTCTGGGAGGCCGATATGGGTGGATCGTTTGAGCTCAGGAGTTCGAGACCAGCCTGAGCAAGAGCGAGACCCCGTCTCTACTAAAAATAGAAAGAAATTATCTGGACAACTAAAAATATATAGAAAAAATTAGCCGGGCATGGTGGCACATGTCTACAGTCCCAGCTACTTGGGAGGCTGAGGCAGAGGATTGCTTGAGCCCAGGAGTGTGAGGTTGCTGTGAGCTAGGCTGACGCCACGGCACTCTAGCCTGGGCAACGGAGCGAGACTCTGTCTCAAAAAATAAATAAATAAATAAATAAATAAAGTAAATAAAAATCAAGACTCTTTATGTTGCAGAATTAAGCAATTAGATTAGAAAAGAAGGTATGACAGGATTACTTGGCACGGGAGAAATAAAAAGATAAAACTGTCTTCACAGATATGATCATTGTAGAAAACTAATAGAATCTACAAAAATGCTACTAGAACAAATAAATGAGTTTAGCAAGGCTGCAGGATATAAAATCAATATACGAAAATCAATTGTATTTCTATACTGGCAACAAATGCTTGCAAATTGAATATTTAAAACAATGCCCTTTTCTAGCCATTGAAACTACAAAGATAAATAAACATTTTTAAAAGTATCCTTTACAATAACACCAAAAGATATGAAACACTTAATGGCAAATCTGACAAAAGATGGGTAAAATCTGTAAAAACACTGAAAACTATTATACAAAATGATGCTAAATTTACAGAAGACCCAAATGAATGGAGAGATATACATACTGTGTTCATGGGACGAAAAAGCTGTCAGTTCTTCCCAAATTAATCTATGGACTCAACACAATTCCAATCAAAATGTCCAAATGCCAGAAGGCTTCTTTTTTTTTTTCTTTTTGAGACAGTCTCGCTCTGTTGCCCGGGCTAGAGGGCAGTGGCCTCATCATTGCAACCTCAAACTCCTGGGCTCAAGCAATCCTCCTGCCTCAGTCTCCTGGAGTGCTAGGATTATAGGTGTGAGCCACCATGCCTGGCCAGCTTTTTTTGGGAGGGGGGGGGAGAAATTGACAAATGATTCTAATATTTATATCAAAATGCAGAGAACCTAAAAGAGCCAAAATAACTGTGCAAAGAAACAAAGTTGAACTAGCACTACCTGATTTCAACGCTAATTAGAGAGCTACAGTAATCAAGACAGTGTGGTATTGGCACAAAGATAGATCAGTAAGTCAGGATAGAAAAGTGCAGATATGTACCCACATGTATGTGGACAGTTTTAAGAAAGGTTCAAATGCAGTTCAGTAGAGTAAGCATAGTCTTTTCAACAAACGATATTGGAACAATTGGATATCCATATTGAAAAAATTTTTTGGCTTTCTAATTTTGCTGTGTGATTGGTGTAATGAGGCATCTGGTCATTTTAGTTTGGATTTTTCAGGGTACTGATGAGTTTAAGCATCTCTCCATATTCTTCTCAAGTATCTGGGTTTCCCCTTCCATGAACTGCCTGTTCTTATCTTTCCCACATTGGTCTATTGGGTTTCCTGTCTCTTTCTCATTGATTTACAGGCATTCCTTTTTTCATTCTGAATATTAATCCACTGTTGTTTTTTGATATTGCAAATACCTCCTCCTAGTGGCCTGTCTTCTTTGTTAAGTCAGATGTTAAAAAGAATTTTTCCTGATAACCCAGAATTGATTTCAAGGACATAAAACTGAGGACTCAGATGCATCAAGTACTATGTATTCTACAGAAAACTACAAACAGGGTCATAATCATTTGGATTATTTCAAGTTTTTGGCTGTTATGAATAAAGCCACTGTAAACGTTTACATATAGGTTTCTGTGGGAACAAAGATGTTCATTTCAGCCAACTAATGGTTATAATTCAATCATGATGTGACAAGTGGAGCTGCATCCCTATCACTCTTTTCTCATAGCATACTAAATTTGATATGTAACCAACTGTTTTTCCGGTAAAAAGATTCCAGAGAATGTAACCAACTGTTAAACCATTTCTCACCTTCAAGTTATAATTATTAAACTTCTTTCAGCATCAGCACCACTTATGTGAGCGTCACCCATTAGTCAATGACTGGATTCTTTGCTGAATCAGGTAATAGCTTTTAAATAACGGAAGAACGATTGCCTCACTTTTTTGTGCTATTCACAATGTAATGACTATAGACACAACACGCTTTTAACTTTAATTTTCATTAACATTTTCTCTATCACTTTAAGTTTAAACACGCAACAATACGATCAATCCATCCCTGATTTGTAGCGTGTGCCGATTTCCATGGTGCAAATTTGACCACGACTGCCAAGTTCAAGCTGCCAATGTGACGTCACCAAAAGTGGAGTTGGGCTGAGGGGTGCAGCATCTCCACCATTCAGTTACAACACATGTAAACAACGTCAAGAGCGTGGATAATAGCAGAATGAAGTAAAATGCCTTTTTTAAAAAGATGAAATAGTAAAATGAGTATAATTGTAGGGACCGTCCCTGGGCAAAAATTGGCTTAAGCCCAGAGTCAGTGAAACTGGATGTGCTCTCCTTGGGGCTAGAGGACAATAGGTCCGGACAGGGCCTCTTGACCAAACAGAACTATTCCTCATGACGGACAGCTTTATGACAGATAACCAAGCGCCTGGGGTCTTGCAAACAAGCCAAGGCAACTCATTGTCCCGCATACAGTAATGAGATAAAGAAGTTAAGATGCAAACATCTGCTTCCATTGAGCAATCGTCTAGAAGGAATGAAAATGTGTTTTCCTCAAGGCGCCCAAGGTAGTCACATACCAGGAAGTAGCTGTCGGACATAGAAAAAGTATATAATAAAACGACTGGTGGAATCAACCACTGCAGTCTTGTACGTCTTGTGTGTGTCTGTGTGTTTCTTTCTGTGTCCATCCCCCGTTCTGCAATTGGGCCGCAACATAATAAAGTGAAGTTTAATTTTTGTTAATATCTATATTTAATGATAAGCTCGTAAAATTGCCGAACATTTAACAATCGGCTCTTGGACACCAGCTCCGACACCTGCCCTGGAGCCAGGACCCTTACTGCACTGGGTGGGTGACCAGTGCACCCCACAGCACCTTCTGGGTGCCCTCTGACCCCGAAGCCCTACTCTGAGACACGCGCTGCCCCAACTTTTACAAGCGGCCACCAAGGAACCCGTACGCGGGGCTCCGTGGCCGCGGGGTGGGCAATGGGGAGCAAGGCGTGGATCTAGCCCAGGGGACGGGAGGCACGCTCGGGCGGCCGAGTGGCCTCCTGTCCGTACTCGCTCGCTCCCCGTACAGCCGGCGCTGTCCAGGTGCTGGCCCCGAAGGGAAGCCGGGCAGGGCAACGGCGCGCCAGTGCGGAGGGTAAGTGGAGGCTCGCGTGGCGACTTCGTCTACGGCGAGACCCGAGGGAGGAGGAAGCGAAGGACGGAAGGTGGACAGGCACAGCAGGAGGTTCGGCCCAACAAGACAGGCCATCCTCCCGCTTGCCCCGGCGCACTGACTGCAAGCTCAGGACTGCCTCCCGGCCCACACGCTACAATGACGCGACGTCTCCCTGACGTCATCTTTCGCGGCCGTCAGAGAATCGGCCGTGGGCGCCGCCATGCGTTACGGAACCCGACAGGCCTTCCTCTGCCGTGCCCCGTAGGTCCAACCTTCAGCGTCGCTACGAAGCATCACGTAGGCGCGGCCACCACTCGGCAACGCTGCTGCTCGAGGGCCCGCCCGTGGGGCGCGTCATCCCCGCGGCCCGCACCCGGGTGGGAGCCGCCATGTTGGGGTCCTCGCTGGGGCGCGTAGGTGTCTTCATAAGATGCCGGTTCGGTGGCGCGCAGCTTCCCCCGAAGATGGCGTCCATGCGGGAGAGCGACACGGGCCTGTGGCTGCACAACAAGTTGGGGGCCACGGACGAGCTGTGGGCGCCGCCCAGCATCGCGTCCCTGCTTACTGCCGCGGTCATCGACAACATCCGCCTCTGTTTCCACGGGCTCTCATCGGCGGTGAAGCTCAAGCTGCTGCTCGGCACACTGCACCTCCCGCGCCGCACGGTGGATGAGGTGAGGCGGGCTGGGCCGGCCGTGCCTCCTCAGACCCGAGACCCCCAGACCACCACCTTCCCACTGCGCCCCTCCCATCCCCCTCCTCGACCCCCCCGGAACCCCCACCCGTCCCTCCCCCAATTTCTCCCACTTCCG